CATTGTATTTTCCAATGGAAATGTCCACTTCAACTTGTTGTCTCACTTGCACCTCTCCATCCTTACTAAGCCATTGGAGTTTATATGGCCTAGGATGTGGTTTGGTAGCTAAATTTAGCTTTGATACTAATCTAGCACTAGCCACATTGGTGCAACTACCTCCATCTATGATCATCATGCACACCTTGTCATTGATTAAACATCTAGTGTGAAAAATATTTTTTCTTTGGTTTTCTTCCATAGGTTTCAATTGACTATCAAGTAATCGCCTAATCATCAATAAATCTCCCTTTGGAATCTCTTCCTCCTCCTCAGTGTCTTCACTCTTTTCTCCCTCTTCAACCTCAGATTCACTTATATATTCTCCCTCTCTAAGAATCATGGTCTTTGTGTTAGGGCACTCATAAGCATAGTGTCCTAGGCCTTGACACTTGAAACACTTCACATCTCTACTTTTTTAGAGGGTTGTTCTTCATATTTTGAATGAGTCTTTGTAGGAATAGGTGTGGAACTACTAGAAGTAACAGTCCCATCTTTTTTGCCTTTGTCCTTCCAACTTGAAAATCCAAAGTTGGTAGAACTCTTCTTAGTCACTTCTTTTCTTTTGAGTTGTTGCTCCACTCGAATTGCTTTATGAAGTAAATCCTCCATATCAACAAACTCCCGCAACTCAACAATATCACATATATCAATATTCAAACCACCAATAAATCGGGCCATAGTTACCTCTTCATCTTCTTCAATCTTTGCTTGAATCATGAGCATGTCCATTTCTTTGAAATACTCTTCAACCCCCCTGTTGCCTTGAGTAAGTTTTTGGAGTTTAAATTTCAAGTCCCTTGCATAACTAGCCGGCACATACCGCTTCCTCATGATCCTTTTCATCTCAGTCCATGTATTAACCATTGGTTCTTCATTTCTATCTCTCTCCTTTTGTAGCTTGTTCCACCAAACAAGAGCATAGTCAGAAAATTCTGTTGTTGCAAGCCTCACCTTTTGGGTCTCCTCATAATTGTTGCATGAGAAAACATGCTCTATTTTCATCTCCCACTCCAAGTATGCTTCTGGATCACTTTTTCCTTTGAACGGAGGAATGTTAAGCTAGACTCCTTCAAGCCTACTTGGTCTTGTTACTCCATCATTCATTCTCCTATTTCTCCTTTCTTCTTCGTCTTCAGGATTTCTATTCTCCAACCGGTTCAATCTTTCATAGAGCTCATTGTTATGTCGTATCATTAATCCTTCCAAATGTTGTACCAATACTCTCATTTGAATTGGACTAATTCCTGCTTCTTGATTGTAATTTTCCTCTTCTGCCATCAATTTAATGTTCAAACCTTTAAATCGGAGCTCTGAATACCAAATGATATGAATCACAAGGGGTAATTTAGGATCTTTAGGGTTAGAACCTTGTAAGAAATTTAGGAATTAGAAAGAAGGTGGAAGGAAAGAATCACTCTTCCCAAGGGAGGCAACACACAAAGGATGTGACAGTCCTTTGATACAGCCAAGGGTTCTTGAATCACTCAAGAATTTAGAGATCACTCACTAAGATAAAAGAGATAAACTCTAATATTTCTGAATAAAATTTCACTTGTTATTTCTTGATAAGAATGGTTCAACTTGATATAGAAGCGTTGCCATCGGAATTACAAAAGACTCAATAAAAGAAAATAAATACTAATAATAACTCATTAATCTAGGAATTGAAAACTATTTAATGGAAACAAATAAAGGCTAATAATGATCCATTAACCTAGGAATTGAAACTACTTAATGATTGATTGTATCTGAAACTGTGGCAACCAAAAGTCAATCAGCTATGCACCCCTTGGTCTCCCAAAGGCTGATGACTAAATTTTCAATTGGGCCCTTATTACAACTTAAAACAAAATCAAACTAAAGCTCATTAATTGATTAATCCAAAACACAATTTGGTCAACCAACAATACTTGTTGAAGAGCTTCATTTGTTTCCCTTGCTCTAGCCCTTATCATAGGTCATGTTCACATCAACCCCCTTGTTGCCTGAGTAAGTTTTTGGAGTTTAAATTTCAAGTCCCTTGAATAACTAGCCGGCACATACCGCTTCCTCATGATTCTTTTCATCTCAATCCATGTATCAACCATTGTCTCTTCATTTCTACTTCTCTCCTTTTGTAGCTTATTCCACCAAACAAGAGCATAATCAGACAATTCCATGATTTCAAGCCTCACCTTTTAGGTCTCCTCATAATTGTTGCATGAGAAAATATTCTTTATTTTCATCTCCCATTCCAAGTATGCCTTCAGATCACTTTTTTCTTTGAACGGAGGAATGTTAAGTTTGACTCCTTCAAGCCTACTTGGTCTTGCTACTCCATTATTCCTTCTCCTATTTCTCCTTTCTTCTTCATCTTCGAGATCTCTATTCTCCAACCGGTTCAATCTTTCATGGAGCTCATTATTATGTCATATCATTAATCCTTCCAAATATTGTATCAATGCCCTCATTTGAAATGGACCAAGTCTTGCTTCTTGATTGTAATTTTCCTCATCTGCCATCAATTTGATGTTCAAACCCTTAAATCAGGCTTCTGAAAACCAACTTATATGAATCTCAATAGCATAAGGGATGATTTAGGATCTTTAGGGTTAAGACCTTGTAGGAAATTTAGGAATTTAGTGATAAGGTGGAAGGAAAGAATCATTCTTCGCAAATGAGACAACTCATAAAGAATGTGAAAGTCCTTTGATATAATCAAATGTTTTTTAATCACTCAAGAATTTAGGAAAATTACTCTCACCAAGATAAAAGAACTAAACTCTAATATTTTTAAATAAAATTCAACTTGTTATATTTGATAAAAATATGGTTCAAGAATTACAAAGATTCAATAAAGGAAAATAAATGCTAATAACGATTCATTAACCTAGGAATTGAAAACTATTTAATGGAGACAAATAAAGGCTAATAATGATCCATTAACCTAGGAATTGATATTACTTAATGACTGATTATAACTGAAATTGTGACAATCAAAAGTCAATCAGTTATGCACCCTCTTAGTCTCCTAAAGATTGATGACTAAGTTTCCAATTGGGCCCTTATTACAACTTGCATAAAAACCAAACTAAAGTTCATTAATTGATTAATCATAAACATAATTTGGTCAACCAACAATACTTGTTGAAGAACTTCTTTTGCTTCCCTTGCTCTAGCCCTTGTTATAGGTCATGTCCACATCACGTGGGGATCGATCCGTCCTCGCCCCGAATTTGATAGGAAAAAATCGAGTTGACCAGGAGTGGGTTTGGATTTTTCCACTTTAAAAAGTCGGGAGCAGAGGCGGGGATGAGTACTCGCAATCCCCACCGATCCGTCCATGTTCGTCCGACTTTATAGTTAAATTTAAATTTTAAATATTAATATTTTAAAAAAATTCTTTTATTTTTTTATTACATATAAGGTCATTTTTTTTAATATTTCACCATTTTTTTTCTTCTACCCACTCTTTAATTTTTTTTAATCTTTTATATCAATTAGTTTATTACATTATTCTCTTTCTTTTACGTTTCACTTTTTCACATTTTTTTAATCTCTCCAATCAATTTTTTTTTTCAATATGTTCAACCAATTTGATGAACACAAAGTTAATTTTTCTTATTCTTTATTTTTTCTAAATATTTTACATAAATCTTAGAAGTAACTAATATTATTTTATTTATAATTTATGTTTATTAGGTTTTATTATATCATATTTTTGGGATCTTATTATTTTTATTTGCCATATACCAAATTTAATATTAATAAAATAATTATATTTTAAAGGATTAAAAAAATTGATAATTTAAACTTTTATTACTTTAAACTAATTAAATAGAAATTAACTTATTAAATATTTTCTTATAAACTATATATTTCATATTTTTAAATGACAACTTAAAAAGAAATTAAGTTATATATATATATAATCAAATATTTGGATATAATATTATAATAGTAATAATAATTATGTTATAAGTATTTGAATATATAATAATAATAATAATAATATTATTATTATTATAATAAGTATTTTAGATTTGTATAAAGAAAAAATAATTAAATATTTCTTTTACACGTATATTTTAATATAAATATAATAAATTAAAATATATATTTAATTAGTAATAATTATAAATTGTAAAATTATAAGTATTTATTTATGTATAAAAAATACATAAAAATATTAAATTTAATTTATTATAAATATAATTATTTTTTTAAAATAATATACATCGATAATGAAAAGAAGAAGAGGGCGAAAAAATCTAAAATCTAACTAAGATAAAGACTTAATTTCAAATTATCGAAAATAATTGAGATGATTAAAAAACTTAGAAACAGGTTCATAGAGACAAAACGCATCCCCAACTACCTGATGTCATGTTTATTATGTTATTGGAATCATGTGTTCAAATAATTTAAGTCAACAGTAGATAATCTTGTCGAATATGGATTATCATTACCAATTAGCTCTCGTGTTATTTTCTTTCAAATGGTTCATTTATTCTTTCTTTTTCGTTGATAGTTAGAACAATATACTCACGATAATTTGTAATGTATTTTTCTTGTCACTTCGGACCAATTTATTAATCAATACAAAATTTATTCTTTAAATTTTCTCCATATACCAAATAAACTTAAATTAAATTTATACTTACTTTTCAAAAATGATAAACATAATATATTTTATATTAATGAAAAAATTTAGATAATGCCATTGAATTTATAAAAAAAATATCAAAAATACATTTAGAAACACATTTAAAGAACTTAAGAGTAATTTTTATACGATATTTGTATAAGCAGAAAATAATCCACAATTATTCAAAGTCTTTCTATCAACAGAAAGTAATCAAACAAAATTCAACAAACAAACATATAAAAAAGTGTGTTGTTAGTATTTAAAAGGAATTTATAGCAATGTTCTATGTACACACACTACAGCAACTCCTTTGGCTTTCTAACATCTCTATCTATCTTTGGGAGTGTAGAGAGATCCTAGAACTAGGTTCAACTTGCCTCTCATTGTGTATGCTCCTCTCTGAAGAATTGGACACATCGAGAGAATGTCTGACTGTAAATGTTACATGCCTCAGTGACAAACGACACACTGGACAAGTAGATTGTTTTTTCAGCCACATATCAATGCAAGAAAGGTGAAAAGTGTGGCCACATTTTGGTATGATGCGCAATAATTCTTTTTCTTTGTAGTCTGCCAAACATATCACACACCTGCACAACAAATTGAATAATTTATCAGCACACTGATTCCCATTTTGAAAATGTCCACGTCTGTTTTAAAATATAGGGTAAAATACAAATTTTATCAGGTAAAATATTAGTTTTAATAGTCTTTAAAAATTTAATACATTTTTATCTCAACATTTACCAAAACTGATGCTGAGTTTGACATCTGTCAATATTAATAACATATGTTTCTACAAAAAAAAAAAAATATATATATATATATATATATATATATATATATATATATATATAAAATAAACCGAGAAAGAACATTGTCTAATCCCTAAGAATTAGAGACCAGAAACTAGACTTAACTGTGTGCTTCCAGTTGAAACAAAGGCTTCATGGTTGAATCTCAAAGTGGGGATCGCACTAACGAAAGCAGGTTCAGGTTCATTACCATGAAATTCTGGCTGTCAAGTAAACAGTGCTAAAGTTAAAATATGAAGCACCCCACATGAACATAACACGGGGGCATAAAGAAAAAGTACTTCGCAAGAAAATTGACATTAACTAAGTCATTAAGGGTTGTATACATTCTAATTAATACAAAGCATCCATTTCTTCATCTGATTAAAAGTTTTCATCGATTACTTAAAATTTTTCATCACCTATTTCCTCTACGAAATTGAATGAAACCTGAATCACAGTGAGAACTTGACATAACGTTCCAGCTATCATTATAACGAAGTTTAAAAAACCAATATAATTTAGAAGTCATAACTTTATAACTAACAAGAGTTTAATATTTTGATTCATTAGCAGCCACTAATTATGTTAACTAGCAAAATCAACCCATACCAAAAAGAGGAAAATTACCCGTTCTATGTCTGTTCTTGGTTCAATTTCATATATAGTCTGTGATCGCAGACGCTCATGTAGTCTTCCACAAATTATTCTTGTGCAGACAAAGACAATGAAAGTTGCACTTAACCCAAACCCAATGATAGTAGTGACCAAATTGGTATCAAAACTCATTGTAAACCAATCTTCAAAACCAAGCCTCCGCAGAGCTAAACCAAAGAAGACAACAAGAAGCACAAAAACATGATACCCACCTCACATATAAAACATGAGAGCAGAGTGCACGCTGGTATCACATAAATACAGAACCCACAGGTTTCAAGAGATAAATAAGGAAAACAGAAAAAAATGATAGACACCCAAATAGGAAAAAAGAAAGTAAAAACACGATTTTTATTTATTTTTTAATGGAATCCAAGTGGCCTTGGTGTGACTGGAAGGGAAGATGGATGGTAGGGAAGAGAGGGGAGAATTGTGGAAGAAGGGCGTTCGTTTTTGTTTATTAGAATCGTATTCTTAATGGGGTCCAGGACATGATTTCACCAACTAACGACAAATCGAAGGGTTGAGGCGTAGAGAGTGGTGGGTGTCGAATCTTATGGTTTTCGGCAGCAAATAGATCTCAACGGTGTGGAGAAAGGACAACATCGATTTTAAGGTTGAGATTCTGACAACTCTAGTAATTGCCTTGTTCTGCTCGTCTCTTTCTTTCTTTGTTCTTTTTTTCCTTTCTTTGAATGTCTCTCTCCACTTCCGCTTTCTAACTACTTTAGGATAAGCTAAACAGTTCACAATATGCGGTGATACTGTTTTCTTGAAGTTCTGTCACCTTGAAAATACAAGTAATAATAACAAAATCATGATGGAAGGTTGAAGTCAAATGCTCTCACAACTTGTCCAGTCATTTTTATCTTCACATCTAATGATAAAGAAAAGTTTTAATAATATTTTTCATAATTAGATTAAGAAATAAAGAATAAGTTGGAGAAGGCTACTCTAAGATTAGAAATAAAGTGCTTGTTAATGCTCAACACCCTTTGATTTGAAAATTAAAAACCATTCTTCTTGTGTCAAATATTCAACACAGAAGGTTTTGTTCAGACGTGTCTTTCTTTTAGATATGCTGTAAAGGGTATGCACTTGGTTTTAGGGTTACCAAAATACCAAAATTAATAGAGATAAAAAAAGAAAGGTTGGTACATCAGCGACCCCCAGCCCACAAAAATTTGGTATTAGTATATTCAATATATCAATTCTTTCTGCTCTGCTTCATTTAACCTCTCAAATAGATAAGGAAGGTTGGACTTATCTATCTATATCTATTTTTATGTCTTATTATTTTAAGATATAAATATGTAATAGAATTTGTATCTGCTGGTGGAGCGAAGAGAGACATAATAATATGAATATTTGAGATGTTCCGATTATAGAGATGAAATATTATTTATAAAAAATTTATATTTTTTTCATCATATATCGTTTTTAGATCTATTCATTTATTCTCGTACTAATTTAAGTAATTGGTGAATATTTTATAGGTATCTTCTTCAATATATTTAGAAAGAATTACATAAAACTTGATAATATCATAGAATTCATGTAACAGCATAATCCAAATTTAAATAATATTTTTTTAATTTTAAATGTTATAATTAACTAATTAAGACATAAAAGAATATTAACCTGATCATATTATTAGAAATTATAGAGAGACTAGGAGTACAAAATCTAAAAAATTTCATTTAATTAGTCTCATTTTTTTTAAGTATGTTTTTAGTCTTTATATTTTTATGTAAAATTGAAAATAGTCCAGTCTGTTATAGTTCACATAAAAAAGATCCTTATATTTTTTAAATGATTGAAATAGGTTCCTATTTTAAACGGCGTTAAGTATATGCTTACCTGTCTAATAAAAATGGTATGACTCATTCACTATTTGACACGTGTAATTATTTTTAAAAAATAAAATTAAATAAAATTAAAAAGTATCAAACTTTTAAAAGTCATTTAAATCTGCACTTATATGATTTAAAATTCATTTTACCATACAAATTTTGCAGGACTTACAAATTTTACCATAACTTAAGAGTTCACTCAACTTCATGTTTCTTTATAAGAAGAGAGGACTCCGATAAAATAATTCAAATATAAAAAGTTTTCTAATATACAAAATTCTCGTAAAAATAAGTGTAAAACATACTTATATTTAAGTAGGAGAGAAATTCATCATTTTAAAGAAGAAAAAGATTTAGGAAAAACATTTTTAAAAAAGAATTTTCCTATTTCATTCATTATGTCTTAAGTTATTACAGATATTTATATTTATAGGCACACATGTCTATATAAAAATAATTTATCTAAAAAATTAATAAAAAAATATTTTTTATTTTTTAATGATTAAAAACTTATGTTTATATATATATATATATATATATATATATATATTAATAAAATAATAATATTATTTTTTATTTAATAAATAATTATTATTTTATAAAATAAATTTATTAATTAATGACTAACTTATATTAAATGTATTTAGACTATTACTATTAGATTATAAATTTTTTCCTTACTTAATTCCTTTTTAAAACTTTTTTTTACTTTAAGTCATGTCTAAAAGTTGTGATATAAAATGAATTTTTTTTATCAACCTCGTTTAACCCGTTATATAAATTAATATAAGTTGAGTTGACTTCTAAATTTATGATTAGATGAATTTATAAAATAATAACTATACTTTGTAAAATTAAAATAATATAATTTTTATTAATTATTATAATTTATATATTAAATTATTATAAAAAAATTAAAATTATTTTTATTAACATATTTTTAAAAATATATATTTAATTTTTTTATTTTCTTTGTTTTATGAATTAAAATAACTAGTTTGTCCGATAAAGGTAAGATATCAAACTCAAAAATATAATATATTCTAAACGAAAGTCAAATTGATCTAACATAAAATTTTGAAGTTATCCGTCAAACTAGGACAAGCTGGTATGAATTATTTGAAAATCTTATTCGGAAACAAGTTCGAATTATATTCTATTGACCTTATTTATTGAAAATCGTTATAGTTATTAATGTGGTGGCCTCAATTTTCTTTGGTAAATAAATTAGAAATAAAAAGATTGTTAATATATAATAATTTAAAAAAAATTCTCTTTTCCTTTTCTGTGTTATTTTCAGTAAATACCAACATATCAATTCCAGGCATCATTTGCTCACCTATTACATCAATCCTTAAACTTTATTAGAATGTCATATTAAAAAAAAAAAAAATTCAAGTCTACTTTATGTATGAAACAATGACCTGTTGATTTTATAGTTTCCACGTGTTAATTACACACAAAACAAACCAAGCATCCAACGTCGGGGTACTATATTAAATTTCATATTTATGAAAAATAAAAATAAGCATAATGGATTATATATACATAATATCTTTTCAAAGTACAAAAAAACATGAAACACAATTATTCATCCTAATAGTAGATTACTATATCCAAACATATACTTAAACTTTCTATTTGCTTACTAAACGTTCAACACTTGTATAAATATTATTTCTTATTGATATAATTATGTTGCGTCACACATTTAATAATTTCTTTAGTAAAACTATTTGTTATTTATTAGTAACACTCTTTCGTTTTTATTCTTTATTCCTAAGTTATTAAGAATCTAAATTAAATAATTACTAATTCGTTTGAATCTTGATTTTTTTTATCTGTTATAATTAATATTAAGTTAATAAATAAGATATTAGCACGTGGACCATAAAATAAAGGAGTGTGAGAAATGGACTAAATATAATAATATTTCACCTTTTTACATTTTAAGACTCTAACCTATTACAATTTTTATTATTAATTTTTATTGTTAAAAGAGGTTTAAATATATATATATATATATATATATATATATATATATATATATATATATATATATATATATATATATATATATATATATACAAGATTGGTATCACAGAAAGTAGTACCTAACACATGGTATCATTTCAAAAACATATCACAACATAAGAAAACAAAAACAATAAAAGTTGTCCTTCCTGCTTAAGGTAGACATGTGAATGAATTCTCCTAGTAGGAACTCAGTATCAAAGACCAACTCAGAAGGACCACCTTAGATTAAATAAATTGTGAATCGTGTTGTGTATATTCAAATTCAAACTAGTTTAAAATATATTAGTTTTCCACGTTTCGATAGTAAATCCACACTGAATCTATTTTAAAAGAAAACATCACAAACACACAAGATTCAGAGTCACAAAACACAACTCACTCATCAGCCGTCACAACAGGAACACGAATGTCCTTGTAGACACAAACGTAAGGTTCATCAGCCCCACAATACTTCCCGCACCACTTTCCTTCGTTGATCCCACTCGCGTCCCAAATCGAAGCGTACAGAAACATAGCTTTCCGAGGGAACCCTTCCCCCTCCTTTCTCTCCTCCCTCCTCACCACCTTCCCATCCACGCGCCACTCGATCGCGTCGCTCCCCCACGCGATGGCGTACTCGTGGAACTCCTCGGAGGCGTCGAACCCCAGAAGGTGGATCTTTTCTCTGTTCCCCTCGCCCCCGGAGTACAAGTTTGTTTGTACGAGAGTCCTGTCGTAGCCCAGAAACTCGAAGTCGATTTCGTCCTGGGACTTGTCGCCCTCCAGGGAGGAAAGGTAGAGGTTGAAGTTGAGTCCGCTGGTGTCGCCGCCGGGGCACCGGATGAGGGCGGAGAAGGTGCCCGATTGGAAGCGCGTAGGCGAGCGCCACCGCGCGCCGCCGCGGCTGTCGTAGGTGAGGGTGATGGTGTCGGAGGTGGCGCAGTGGGAACAGGCCTCGGGAGTGTAGTCGATGGCGATTTGCTTCAACGGTTGGGTAGCGAGAGAGAGGGGCAGTGCATGGGCCATTGTTGGAGAGTACGTGTGGTGAGTTAGAGGGTGGAATGGAGAAAGGGGGAAGTGTTGTTTCTAAATGGTGGCATTCGGATTCCGGGGTCACGTTGTGCTTTGTAGAATGAGTTACCCATTTCACATCCTCGTTTTTTCAATGTTTTGCACGGATCAGGAAATAAAATTTTCATAAAAATACACTTGTGAAAAAAAAAATGAAAAGTAGAATAAAAGAATTACCCGGTTTAGGTTAATGTCTTTTTTTTTTTTTAAAGAAACAAAGCAAAATAAAAATTATAAATAACTAATTTCATTGTAAATGTAAAATAGGCAGAGTTTTAAAAATCAGATTACACCGGTGAGTTTAATCGATTTAGCATAAGTCTATTATTTTTAAATAATTAAATTTTTAATTAAATTAAAAAAAAAAACAAATTTAATAAAATCGATTAATTTTTTAAGTCCAACTAATTTTGATAAAAAAAATTTAAGATAATTTTTTTTAACTTAATTCTTTTATAAAATATATATAATATATTTTAATTTTTTATCTTATATTAATTACATTAATATTAAATAATAATTATTTTATTATATATATTTTTATTTATCTATTTTATTTTATTAAATATATTTAATATTTGTAATTTTTATTATAATTTATGATAATTATAATAATAATTTTTATTATTTTCTTATATAAAATATTGTTATTAATAAATTTATTATATTATTAAAATATTATGGTATTAAATTTGATTTAATTCTAGTTAAACCTTTAAATGTGAACCTAAATTTTCAGTTAGCTGTCCCATTTTAAAAATATTGGAAATATGTGAATTCAGTTCTTGAACATATAAAAAGTTGGACTATTTAACATAATGAGACTATTTTCTTATTAAAATATATTTGTAAAGATTAATTTAGAATGAAAATTACAAATTAAAAATTCTTTCACATTTATAAGATATATAATTAAATTATACATTATAAATAAATGTAAAACCCCATCTGAAGAAAAATAATATAAGATTAAATTAGAAATCACTTAATTTTTATTATTATAATATTATAGTCTATTCTAATAATCCATTACATTATATTATAAATAAAATTAATATATATATATATATATATATATATATATATATATATATAAAATTTCATATAGGTTTGAATTACACATTTTTTACATTTTTATGAATATTGAAAAAGTGATTATTTTGTTATTATATAATAATATTTGAGATTAATTCAGAAATTTTATATATTTAAGAGCTAAATTAAATTTATATTATTTTTATTACATGGTTAATAAGATATTATTATCTTATATTATATTGTCACATTTTTTTATTAATGAAAGCTATATAATGCCGCTAGAATACTAAAAGTATTAAAAATAAAATTTAAAAAAATATTTCTTAACGAAAGTTTTTTACCATGAACAACTCATTCTCGTTTTTCATTACCTTAACATCCAAATAAATATTTTCATAATTTTTATATTATTTTAAAATAAGATAAAATAAGTATTTAAAATTATAAACTAATCAAGTCATGTATATTCAACTAGAACTAAGAGGTTATACAGTGTTAATATATTTCTATATATAAATATACTTTTTAACTTATATTTTTGTTTATTTTTTTATAATTTTTTCTTTAACAATAAATTAGGATGATAATCTATTTTCATAAATAATTTTGGCGGTCTCATCTTAATTATCTCATGTAACAAATAGGTAGACACAAACTTATACATACTACATTATTAAGAGTTGGGTAAAAAAATAAATGGTAAGTCATGCTAAATTCAGTGTTCATACTGCGCATGATGAAATACATAATGATAACGTATTCTTACATATTAGGGGAGAGGATATCAAATCTGGAATAGCCTTCTTCATAATTTTTTTTTAAGTATTAATTATTGTCATGTATTTTCATTTGACATTAGAATTTTACTTGAGAGGATGATCTGGAGGGGACTTGCACATCACAATGAGAGAGAGGAAGAAGGGTGCAGCCAAAATGAGAAAAGTGGAAAAATAAAATAAAGAAGATACGATGAAAGTTATTAATAATAATTGTTGTTTTATAGGTTATTAAACAACTGTTGTTATATAATTGGAACCGCGTCGCCTTTAATAATGGTTCCTAAATGACCGTCATGAAAAGGCATCACCGTTCCTCTACTTTGTACTAGTGATTATCCAATTCCTTTGAAGTCTCCTGCATCAAGAAGCTTTTTGAAAACTTTTACAGCCATATTAATATTAGTGTACTTAACTATGTCTTTATAGATAGGAGAAAACTAGGGTATAAAAAGAAATTGCATGTGCATTCATATTATTCAATTGAAAAGTAAAGTGCCTAGATAAAGTTGTCTGCAAAAAACAATCTGCATCGAATGTGATCCCTAATTTATTCCCTAATTTATTGGAACTGCCCAATAAAATAGGAACACAAATAAAACAAAATTAAAATAGAATAAGATAAACCTGACATTCTCTTCCTTGAACTAATGCATCTATACTAGTTACTCCAAGCATAATCTGAAGCTTTTCAAAGTGTTCTAGCTTTAGAGTTCTTTCCATAATATCCTTGGAGTTACAAAAACTCAACTCACCATTCATTAAATCCTGAAAAAAAAAAAACGCGAAACACTGGTGTTTGAACAGTTGTATAGCAAAGTTGTTCACACATCATCTCAACTTTTATCTTCTCTTTGATTCTAATTTGTTCTAGTAATTTGTTAAGTCAAACACACTATAAGCATAGAGAGTTGTTTCATGCATTATGTTTCAATTGTGGACAAAGAAACTTTGTTTCTTGGAAGCCTAACACTAGTGGAAAAATAGCTTTCTATGACGGGTTTTTATCACGGTTGTAATCCACCCGTCATAGTATGTGGCGCGGTGGCAATTTTGTAATAAAATCATAAACTTTCTATGTCGGGTAAGTTTTAACCGACATAGTAAGTGGAAAGGTCACTTTCTACGTCGGTTAAAATTTACCCGACATAGAAAGTTAACTTTCTATGTCGGGTAACATTTACCCGACGTAGAAAGTTTACTTTCTATGTCGGGTAAATCTTAACCGACGTAGAAAGTCTCTTTGATGACGGGTGTTAGGGCAACCGACATAGTATCTTCTGTTTTACCCTCCTCCCGCCCTTCATTTCATTTCTTCACTTCCCCCCCATAGCAGAGCTCCCCTGTACGTTTCTCCCTTTCTCCCTAAGCTCCATTTCCTTTCATCAGTTGACCCGTTCGCTTGTATACGTTTCTCCGCACCCACATTTGCTCGTCACGCCACCTGCCAACGCTTCGTGCCGCCTGCTGCTACTGGTGCCCGTCGCCTGAGATACCCACCCAGCTCCGCACGTCACGCCACTGCCGCCTCTCGTAGGTCTTCAAGAGGTAAGTTTTCGTGCTTGCTTTAGCCATTTTAGGTTTACAGTTTTGAATGTAGGTTTACGAGTATTGAATGTAGTAAGTAATAATCGTTGTCAAGAGAGGGAAACATCACGGGTGCCTTTAGCTAATTTAGAGATGTATTGTAAGTAGTTTAGTCATTTGAATGTGTTGTCTGTAGGCATTCTTTCGTGATTTTGATTTTGAACATTAGATTTGTATTATAATGTAGTTATTTTGAGAGTGGAGTTGGATTTCGTGTAGGCATTATAAGGTAGTTATTTCGTGTTTATGTAGCTAATTTGATTTTGAAAATTAGATTTGTAACAATGGATCGGAGTTGGATCAATTATAGACGAACAACAAATGAATATGAGAGTGGAGTAGAACAATTCCTTGAATTTGCTAAGATGAATGTTCGGATAATGATGGAAGATTCTATTGCCCTTGTGTTAAGCTCGCTTGAATGAGCGAAGATTACCGACTGAAGTTATTCGGGAACATGTTCTTTGTGATGGTTTCCTAAAGAGTTACATAAAGTGGACATGGCATGGTGAATTATTAAACATGCCAAGTGTAGAAGACAAAGAAGAAGTTGATCTAGAGATGGAGGATCAGTCTGGAGGAAATGATTTGTGAGCTTGGACAAGATGCCTTCCAACACACACATGTGTACGAGAAGTTGTCCAATGATGCAAAAGAGCCTTTGTATACAAATTGTACTAAGTTCACACGATTGTCGGCGGTACTAAAATTGTTCAATGTGAAGGCAAAGAATGGGTGGATCGATAAAAGTTTCACGAGAATTGCTTGAGTTGTTGAGTGACATGCTCCACTGAAGGTAACACATTGCCAACCCGCAATTATGATGCTAAGAAGATATTGTGTCCAATGGGTATGGAGTACCAAAAAATTCATGCATGTCCAGAATGATTGTGTGTTGTACAGGAAAGAATTTGAGAAGCTGTCACGAATGTCCACAATGCGGGGAATCACGATACAAGAAGAAGGATGGTGATTCGACAATGATGTAATGAAGGGTACCCAGGCAAAAGTGTTATGGTATCTTCCCATTGTTCCAAGGTTGAAACGATTATTCACTAATGGAAATGATGCAAAGCTCACTAGATGGCATGCGGATAGTCGTATTAAAGATGGTCGGTTGAGGCATCAGTGAGATGGATTGCAATGGAAAAAAATTGATTCCATCTTCCGAGAATTTTGGTAATGATCCAAGAAACATTAGGTTTGGACTTGCTACGGATGGAATGAATCCATATGGAAATTTAAGCGATAAACATAGTTCATGGCACTGTGGTGTTAGTTATTTACAACTTACCTCCGTGGTTGTGTATGAAACGTAAGTACTTGATGCTATCTTTGATGATCTCGGGTCCCGGACAACCTGGAAATGACATTGATGTTTTTTAAGCCCATTGGTTGAAGACTTGAAGATGTTGTGGGAGGAAGGTGTTGATGTGTTTGATGGGTACACAGGTGACTTATTCAAGTTGCGTGCAATGTTATTTTGTACAATTAATGACTTTCCGAGCATATGGTAATTTGAGTGGCTATAGCACAAAGGGACATAAAGCTTGC